AATGTTACTTTTCAAATGTGTCAATACATTTTTAATAGCACAAATATTAATCCAAATGCATACAACCATCCGAAAAAGTCAATTTAATTGAATTTTTAGCAAAAAAAAAATAAAACTTCATTAAGCCAAGGATGAAATTTTTTCTAAAAACGACCTCAAAACAGTTTTTTTTTTCGACAGAATCGTCCTCTAGTGTGGATTTTTATTTATTAAGGAGAAAAGCCATCTTGAAAAATGATGATTTGCTCTAAAATTTCGAAATTTTCAAAAAGCGGGCCGGCCATGTGTAATTTTTTCCGGCCCGGCCCGGTCCTGCCCGCGGGCCGGCCATCTTTTCCACAAGTATGAAAAATATTTTATTATTACTTTGAAAAAAAAGAAAAAAATTAGTGGACAATAAAAAGAATCCAATTGTTGGAGGGATAATTTTCGGATTCTAAAAAATTCGGAATTTGAGAAAATGTCTATTTCGAAGAAATTACGGATTTTGAAATTTTCCGAATTCCCGAAAAGTCGGATTTTGAAAATTTCGTGAAATTCGGGCATCGAAAATTTCAGAATTTTTCGAAAAATTGGATTTTAAGAATCCCAGAATTCTGTGAAATTCGGATTTTAAAATTTTCGGCATTTCAGAAATTTTTGATTTTTTTGAAATTTTAGGGATTTCAAGGAAATTCAGTTTTTCGAAATTTCTTTAAACTCGGGTTTCGAATACTTAGGAAATTAGGGAAGTGCTTATTTTAGGACTTTCAGAAAACTCAGATTTTGAAATTTTATAATTTGAACAGAATTAGAGACATAAATTTGAAATACCGTAAACACTCTAATAGAACGCCATCCGAATCGTTAAATTTGAGCCCATGTATCTCATTTTCTGTAAAAGATATCAAATAGTGGTTAACTATAAAAGTGTTGCTGATATTATGATAAACATTTTGTCAGTTGACAACTTTTTGATCTTCTATAGGAACCGAGATAATTGAGCTCAAAGTGGACGGTCCGGGTGGCGTTCTATTAGAGTGTTTACGGTGTTCTATAAATATTTCAATCCAAAACAAATTTCAAACAAAACTTTATTCGGCAAAATATGATATACAGTTTTTGTGAGGGGGGAATGGAGAAGAAGAAAACAGGAAACGAAAATGGAATAACAGAAAGATTTTGTCGAATTCAAAAAAGAGAAAAGTTTTGTGATGGTTGGATGAGGTGTGATGTGCTGCTCATTTTACTTCTTTCCAGACTTCTTGATTCCTCCTCCGACTGAAAATATGAACATTTCGCTATGAAGCATGTCATTGGCATATACCGTAAAACCTGTATTAGAAGGACTTCTCTAATAGTGGGACCTTTCTATTAAAAGGGCCCTCCGGAAGCACCTTGGAACAAAAGAAGGGCCGGCCCATCTAAGACAGGTTTTACGGCATGTGTTATTTTTGGGAAATTTGTATGTTTGGAGATTTTTGAGGTCGAAAAAATTGGTTTTTGTATTCCAAATCCTCTCATCTATGATCCATTGAGAAGAAACTCACGAAGTGGTCCACGCTGGCCAGCCTTGGCTGCCATCTCCTTGATCTTCTTGGCCTCCTCCTGCTGCTTCTTCTTGAACTCGACATCTTCCTGAAAAAAAACCCCGGATGTTCACTTCGCCTTATTCGTGTTGTCAACGGCAACAAAAATCTAGTTGCAATGTAATGTGTTTTACAAAGATTACATGTGTCTTAAGATGAGAAAAATGGCGCCTACGGGGTCGAAATGGTTTTTAGAGGGGCGGGGAACTGTTCAAAAGTTTACATCCGTGCCGTGTTCTATATCAAACTACACCCAAAAATGGAACAAAATTGGACGCGAGGGAGAACTGATCACTAGGTTTCCTTTCATCATCAGTTTTTTCCTTATATTACACCCCCAAACAGTATAAACTGTGTAGTGTCATCATTATCACTTACCTCAGAGAGATCCTTCTCTCCCTTCTTTGGTGCCTTCAGTGGCTTAGCCTTTCCTCCTTGACGTCCGGACATTGTTACGAGTTGGCGTTGATTGGCTGAAATTGAGAAGAGTTGAGCTAATTTTGAGACAACTATACGACAATTTTGGAGTAATTTAAAAAGAGTCGGCTCGTAAACATACTATTCCTCACTCCTCACTTTTCATTCTTCCTAGTTTTCAACAATGAATCTTCTACTCAATATTACTTCTCTCATTGGACGACTATGGCTCTGGTTCTTTGACAGGTTCATTATGTATCCATTGATGAAATAGTGGCGCCGAAACTTGGAGTACGGTTCATGAACCTAGGCTACTGGCCATCAAGCAAACCAGAAGACGCAAAGCTACGAGAGTTTATGAATCACATTGGCGACTTGCAAGAATACGGTAGGCATGATATCTAAAATAGAAGAAACGTGTTTTTTAAAGAACCCCACCGGGCTCACATCTACTTATCCTGCCCGGCCATCCACATGTATGATATTTTTATTAAAATTTCTATTATTGTGTTTTGTTGCCTTTTAACAAGAAAATAATTGCAGAAGAGATTAAGAATGCAAATCGTCGTTATCAATTCATTCAAAGATGTTTATGTCGCCGGGCGGGCGCTTCGTTTCAAACCCAAATTTGATATCAAAAGAAGGTTTCTATTTCGAATCAAATTTGATCCGAAACACGCTGCGAAATCGAATTAGCAACCCGGAAAGTTTTAGGTTTTAGGAGTTAATTCCAACTTTATTCGAAGGTTTCCAATTGAAACCGAAATGCAACTGATCTAATTCGATCTGAATTTTGAATTCATTCCGAGAAGGTGCCACTTTGGTTTTATTGCAACAAAAAGAAATTCAACTCAATTGGTATCAAATTAGACCTGGATTGGGTTGCGTTGTGACGTAGCTGAACCGCCCAGATCGACTCGATTAGGTTTTGGTTTTTTGAACTGAAATTGAGAAATATGGGAAGAAAAGGAACGAAAAAAAGAAAGGAATTTTATTGGGGAAACTTTTGAAGAAGTACAGAGGAAAATGAATAAGAAGAGTGGAGCTTCCATGAAACAATGTAAACTCCATTCTGGTCTACCTGAAGAATCAGGGATATCAGGAGCAGAGAAGACGGAATAAAAATTTGGGAAACTTTTGAGAAAAAAAACTTTGTTGAAAAATTTTAACCTAAAAAACTGCTCTATTAGATTTTCAGTGGTTGTTTTTTTTTTACTTTAGGAAATTGGAAAATTTCCATCTATCAAATGTTTGGGATATCGGCAAGAATGAACGAGAGTCGTAGAAAAATTGTCCTTCAAAATCACATCCGTAACATAGCAGGATTTGCGATTAGAGTAGTTACGGTAAAATGAGTCACTGATGAAAGTAAACCAATTTCGATTGATTTTGTGAATCTTCAAACTTTTAAATAAAATGTTCAAGTTTTTTCTATAACTATCGTAACAGTGTTAATTTTATGATGTAAGCTTTTGCATTCATCAAAATCATAGAACCTCAGTGAAAAAACAGATAAAAAGATTTTTTTTCTGAATTTTTGATATCATGATGTGAACTTCCCAAATTAAACTTCGGAGATTTTTAGATTTGATGTTGACGACTTCTTCCTTCAATTATTCAGAATTAAAAAAAAACAATTATCACAACTCGTGCCAGGTCGTTATGATTTCAAAGCAGACGAGGATGTCCACTTTTGTTTTGGGTTTTTTAAAAATAAATACAAATTCGGATTGTCATTTCAATTTTTAGGCAAAACTAAATAGAATAGCAAAACACTCATTCTACCAAGCTTGAGCTAATTTTTCTTGGCTCCTATGCAGGATATCAAAAATATGTCAACTGATAAAACGTTTGTGATATTATGATAAGCAATTTATCAGTTAACAACTTTTCATATCTTTCACAGGAACTGAGATAAATTGACTCAAAGTTAAAAGCAAGTAGGTCGTTCCATTAGAATGATTACGGTAGTTTATCTATTATCAATTCAAAAAATTGAGATGAGCCTTTCAATACAGGTTTTAAATATTATCCTTGTCAGAGAAAAAAAGGTTGAGTCGACGTGTATGCGATGTTTGTAAACAAATATCTGAAAGCGTAAACATCCGCGGATGGATGCATCCGGAAACAGTTGAAACGAGTGCGACAGTAACCCGGCGGGAAAATATTAAATTTACTCATTTTTTAGTTTTTCGCATATTTTGCAGCAAATTTCGTCGAATATATTTTAAAATACCGCAAAAAACAATGAAAAACCAACCATATTCGACGAAATTTGCTGCAAAATATGAGAAAAACT